CATCACTGTACCAATTTGCCAAGCTTTGTGTCTTTCACATTGGCTTATAAACCCTGCGTTTAGTCACACAGAGTTGTACCTGGGGATAAAATACCTTTAACAGGTAGGAAACAGTCATTTTGCAGTCACCTGTAATGGGATTCACACACCTTCCTCGGGAACATCTGGTCCTGGCCGCCGTTGGCACACTGACTCCAGAGTAGGTCAGTGATCCCCAGGGCTTGTGCCGGAGTAACGCGTGCTGGGCATCGCTCTGAGCGCGGACAGCAAGGCGCAAGCTTTGGTGGGGTGGCAGAAAAGGCTCCTTGAGCAAGGCCCCTGGGAACCTGTAATCACTGACAAAAAGCCACCCTGCCTGCAGTGCTAGATGGGGGCTGGCAAGCACACGAGGAGCACGTTGCCAGCAGAGACAGAAGGGTGAGGGACTCCTCCTGCCAACGAGAGGCAGCCAGTCTCACCACAAGGTCGCTGTGTCCTCTGGAAGACCTTCCTCCCCGGCGTTTTCCCTCTCGTTCCCTGTCTGGAGGAAAGCCAGTCGCATAGAGAAGGCACCGGGATGGGAACTACCGTCATTGGTTTCTATTCACGGCATGTTTCAAAGAGAGAGTGGACTCAGAAGAGAGCATCAGTGTTCGAACAGTGGTCCCTGGCACAAGCTGCTCAGGACCGTGTAGGTGCTACACACGTCCCTGCCCCCAGAGCTGGTGGCTTTCAGTCAGTACAGAAAGAGCCAGATTTGGGAATCAGAGTAAAGAAATAGGCATCTGACAAATTGGTTTTGATCATCTTGGGGAATCAAGGCATTTTCAGGACTGGGAGTTGTGAGACTCCCGTTCTTAAGTGACCCTGAGGATTTTCCAGCGTCCTATTCTTTCCCTGGAGTCTGTCCACTTGTTGTGGGCAGCCCAGACCTCTCTCCTATTCATGGAGGTGTCCTAAAGTCATTCTTGAGGCTTTTCAGTAGAATCACTGGCCCAAAGAAATGCAAAAGCTCTTTGTGGCCCAAAGAAATCAGCTTTTTTCAGCTGCCAAGACGTAGAGAGCCCCTCGCTTTCTGATATTCCCAAAGACCTCATGTTTGTCTCAGTGTTTCCATAGCAAGAGAGTACAGAGGTGTGGTATTTGGTGCTAACCAAGGCACTCTGGGCAAAGGATTCCCAGAATGGCTGAATGTCAGACCAAGAACATTCCCTGACATTTGAGTTCAAGCACTGGCCATGCCACAGCAAAAACCTTACGTTCTTGCCAGGTTGAGCTTTGCCAGTGTTACAGATACCAAGAGCCACAGTGGAGATGGAACCACTTCTTTGATTTTCAAGAGCCAAAGTTCTTACTTTTGTCTACCAAAATCTCAAAGTCAGGAACTTAAATCGTCAGGGCTTTTGTCACACCCAAATCTACATTTCCATTGCAGTTTGTATAAAATATGATTGTGTGTTTGCATTTAAGCATTGCTCGAGGGAAATGACATGTTAAGTTGGTTGAAGTAGCTTGCTCAGCACTAGAGGACAGAGTTGGGAAATAAAAAAAGAATTCCCATCGGTTTTCACAATTCACTGCAAGAAAGAGGGCCTGAAGGTGTTGGGACTGCTGGTTTATTTTTAGCAACAGACGTGAGCAGGAGGTTGCTGTTTGTGAGCACTCTCTGCAGCCTGCGTGGTGCTGTGCCCAGAAGGGAGGTGACAGGGGAGGGATGGGGGAACTGCTCTGCTCAGATGCTGCAGCGCTGCGGGCCGCTGGCTCAGGACACGGTGCTCGCGGCAGGCAGCTCCAGACCAAAGCTGCTGTTGCGGGGGGTGTCAGCCCAGGCTTGCCCGAGCATTGAGGAGCAGTTGTTTTCTACTGTTCCTGCACTGTTTTAATGCCTCTTCTTTCTCCTCTTTTCCTTCCACAGCGGTAATGTTATTATAGAAACCAAATTCTATGATGACGATCTTCTCGTAAGCACTTCCAGAGTGAGACTTTTCTACGTTTGAGATGGGGCTTTTTGGAGCTGTTTTAGTTTTCCTCCATACAGTTCTTGGTGCAGAACCCCCCGACTATCCAGTGGAAGACACTCCTGTAGGCGGTGACCCTGGGGACCAGCTCAACGTGGGTTGTGACCTTTGCCCATCAGTTATTTTGCTTTCTTTGACAAGACTAGACCAAACCCTCAGAGACAGGACCATCTGCTCAGCAGTGCACTGGGGAATAGAGGCTGTCTCTGAACACGGGCAAATGATGGTCATGCAGAACCAATACTGTAAATTATGTTAGTCTCATGTTTGTACTTCTCTGGATCCTGGTATAATCTCCCATTTCCACTCACACCAAACTCTCAATGCGTTTCATTTTTGGAGGATTCAGTTAACCTTTTCATTTTTCTCATGTTGTAGTTTTTTATCCTTTCACTGGATTTCTGTGTAACTGGTCCACGCATCCTCTTACCCTCAACTTGTAAAATAGACTGTGATATCACCTAATGTAATTAAAACAAATTTCTCAATTAAAACATTCCTACCGTCCAAAGAAGGGAAGAAATGTTACTTCTGTGCGTTTTCCTTTCTGTGATAAAAACACCTCGCAGCAGGCACAAACTCCTGTCACTCAAGCCAGGAACAGAACCGGCTTTTCCACAGCCCCCACATCCTTGTTGAATTTCTCTTCCTCCAGCTGACCACGTGGGAGAGGTTTCCTGACTGCTCTGACCAAGGTTTCTCCTTGGCCTCGTTTCTGTCCGTTAATCCCTCAGGGCAGTTTGTCTGTTTGCCCAGTCTCTGGTTTCTTGAGCAGCACTGCACGCTGTTCTGCTTTTCTAAGTTCCTGGGGACACTCAGACTCCTCCGGAAAAATCTGTGTTCCCCTGAGCCCACCAGCCTCAGGCCTGGGCTGAGCTCCCTGAAGCACAGCTGTGGCTGTGGCTGCTGATACCAGCGATCTCCACACGTGCACGGCTTTAATGACACGCGGCAGCAATTTTGCTACCACAGCCTTCTCAAGCCCTACTACTACCCTTTCCCCATGTTGTTTATAATTAGCTCAAGCACGTGTAACCCTTGGGAAGGTGGCATCTCCAGCTTCTGCTCTTAAACATCACAGGCACCTTGTTGATTGCTTGACACTCCGGTCAGCCCGTCCTGGGGCTGGGCACGCGATTCCCGGGAGAGTCACAGGGGAAATTAAACGCGTGATTTCAGATCCTGAACTCAGCCGCTGGGTGTGCGTGGGAGAGATACAGCATAACTTTTTTTAGGTGGAGTTGGATCATTCATCGCCACGAGAAGAGCATTAGCCAGTGTAGCAGCTTTCTCATGAGACCTCCCTGATGGATTTCAGCCTGCTGGACCTGTGGGGCAGAGTCTCTTCAGCAGCGTGACCTGTCCTAGGCCAGCCCGTGTACAGAGATCAACCGAAACCGCCGTGTGCACCCGGCATGAACACCACCCAGTGAGGCGAGCTCCATCAAAGAGGAGAGACAAAAGTTATCCAGAGAGGGAAAATACAAAAGCCCGAGGGTCCTATGAGCAGATACCTCTCTGTTCTAGGACAGATGCTCTGCTGGGCACATGCACAGGAGGTGTCTCCTCTCACCAAACCGAGCTACAGCCAAGTGCCGGGGAGCCTCTGCCCCAGGGCAGCCGGGTGCTCCCAGCGGGACCGAATCTAACCTGGACGCCTTTTCTTCTAATGGCAAACGAGCTTTCAAGTTTTGCACCCACTTACCCTTCGGGCCGAGCCCGGCTCCTGGGGGGGGGGGGATGCCCTCCCGGCAGAGCCGCACACGCTGGAGGTCTCCACGGGGGGTTTAGGTGGCCACCGACACGCGTGATTGGAGCTCCCGCGGGATGAGCTGCCCTGGGAGGGACGCGGGGGGGGATGCTGAGCTCCTTCTCTCCTCTCCCGGCTCGGGCTCCCCCAGTTCACCCCGCTGGAGCCGGGCGGCCCCGCGGCAGCGGATCTGTGGCGGGTCATTGTCGCCCTCAAGTGGCTCCGTGGGAAATAGCTAGCAGCTCACCCACTCCTGCCTCTGGATCACTCTCCCAGCCCCGCACCCAGCATCCCCCAGTTCCCCCCAGCACCCTCCCCAGTGCGTGGCTCAGCCTCCCTTAAAAAAACTGATGGGGCAAACGCCGGGCCGGGGGAGACCGGGGGGCCGGATCCAGCCGGCAGAAAGGTCCCCTGGTAGGGCAGGGGGGGAACAGCGTTGTCTGACCGGACACCACCCAAAATCCATTTGAAGGGCTCCTGCGTGCCCAGAGCAGGAGCCCAGGCTTGCTGTGGGTCCCCTCCCTGTGGGGCTGGTGGGGATTTGGGAGCCCTGGGAGAAGGGGCAGGAGACAGGGCCAACACGCTGCCCTCAGCACGTCCCATCCCCAGGGCCCGAGTGTGGGGCGGGCAGCTCTCGGCACCCTTCCATGGGGCTGTTGGCACTGGAGCATCAAAGGCACCAGCAAAGGGAAAAGCGGGGCTGGAAAGGGCGAGAGAGGAGCAGGGGGTTTGGGGGTGGGGGTGGGGTGGGGTGTCACCACTACCACCACCAGTCCCTGTGCCCAGGGTGGTTCTGGTCACAGCCCGAGGGCAGCCTCATGCCACAATCTGTGCAGAGGTGGAAGGGGTGGGATTAAGCGGGAGCTGGGAGCAACACAGCAATTCCCCCTTTTATTTACCAAAAAAAGTTCCCACCTGGAAACTCAGAGCCTTTGCAGGCACCTCCGGGGCAGAGAAACTTTCCCCGGTCTGGTCCACACACCGGGCTCCGAGCAAGGGGAGGGCTCCGTGGTGGCAAGAGGGGCAATTCTGGGTTGGGGTTAGGACCTGGCTGGGCCAGGCGAGGAGCCTCTTGCCACGCAGAGCCCTTCCCAGAGCCCAGCCGCTCACAAAAACCCCCGGCTCACCTGGAGCTGCTGCCTCCCGGCACGTACCACGTACTGGAGCCGTCGGCATCTGACCGGCCAAGCGGCCCTTGGGAGGGGGAACCCGCCGGATTCAGCAGCAGCCAACAGCCGCCGCTTCCCCCAGCCCCGTTGTTGGCAGCCGGAGAGTTTTGGCCTCAGCAGCTCCCGCGGCGGGCACAAGTGCCTTCCAGCTGCCGGCACGCAGAGGGAATTTGTTTCTGCGAGAGTTTTGGGCCAGGGAATGTGCTTGGGAGGCTGCTCCCCCCCCGCCCCCCCCCATGTCAAGCCACCCCGGCAGCCTGTGAAAACCTGACAGCGAGGGCAGGACAGCCCAGACACTCAGGCAGAGGCCTCAGAGGCACACGGGGAGGGGGAGGAAGAAGAGAGGGAAAAACAGGTAAGAGCTGGGGCTGTGCACAGCCTGGGGGGCTGGCACGGAGAGATTTGGGGTGAAGCTTGCTTTGCCCTTCAGCCACGTCTTCAGCTGGGAGCCCTCCAAGCTGGGGTATTGCAGAGCTGCTGGGTAAAAGCAGCGAGGCAGCACAGGAGGCTGGTGATGTACAACATGCTTTTGGCTTTAGGGGAGCTCTCTGCATGGTTTTGGGGTCCATCACACAATACAGGTGCCCTGAAGCACGGGTTTGGCTTATGGCAATGAAAAGCACCCATCGATGGGGTGCAGGGCTGGCTGCAAAGCGGGACCCTGACCCCGGGTACAGTGGGTTCTTGTCTACATGCTGCAATGAGGGAACAGGGCCAGCTCCTCCCTGCCACACAGCAAGCCCAGGGCTCTCACACCCTCAGCAGCACCCCATCGGGGTGTTACCTACCCCGGCTGCTGCACAGGCACCTTCTCCGGCCGCTGCGGGGGCTCTGAGCCGCCTGACCACCCGGCAAATCCGACTGGGGCTCCCACTGGCGTGCTGCCCCAGATCTGCCCTGCCCAATAACGCTCAGGCGGGGAAGCAGAGCCAGCCTAATGCGGTTAATTAGCTGATTCATGAAGGTTACTGGCGAACAAAAGGCGCACAAACAGCCCAGGGCCACGTTATGTTCGGTGCCTGCTTTGCTACTCTTACCTTCCCGCGGGTGCAGGCAGCACAGGCAGGCGGCAGGCAGCGCGTGGCAGCAGCGGGGTCAGCACCATCTCATCCCACCTCACCCGGATCCATCCTCTCCGAACGGCACTGTGAGGGGAACAGGAGGTTTGAGTCCCTCTGTCCCTTTTGGGGGGCACAGATCCCACGCCTGGGTCACCAGGACAGCGCAGGCAGGTCCCCAGCCAGGCATCGAACCGCTCGGACAGCGGGACTGTGGGGCTGCCAGGTGATTTGGGTGCAGCCCTGTCTGTCCCCAAAGCCAGGAGGATGTCTGGGGCAGAGACAGGACCCGAAGGGCCACTTTTCAGTCCAAGGCACCCAACTCCTCCTGCCCTAGGGAGCCACTGGTCACCAGCAGCCCCTTGGTGCCGTGGGGCCTGGGTGCGACCTCTGTTGGGGCTCAGCCCCCACCTCGCCCCACTGCACGCCTGACATCCCCATCAGTGCTCCCCACCAGCACCCCTCACCACAGGAGGGAAGTGGGGCAGCCCTCACTACGGCCTCTCTTGCAGAGCGTCCTGTTCTTATGGCATCCAGCTCTGTGCCAAAATCCTGCCTGCTCTCCCAGCACCCCAGGGCCAGGCAGGGCAGGCAGTGTGACAGGCACCCAGGAGCTGAGAGGGGGAAACCTGGGGGGGGGGTGCAGATCAGGGGGAGGAGGGGACAGTGGGGCAGTGCTGCAGAAAGCTCCCCTGGCGTCCCAAAATCTGAGCTGTAAAGGGCTGGCACTGCCCTGGCTGTGCAAAAGGGGAACAGTGACAAGTTGTGGGAAGGGCTCACACTCGCACCAGCTATGGATGACAGGCACCAAGAAACCACCAGAGATACAGGAGGAGGCCACAGGAGAGTTGTGAAGACCCTGACAGTGAGGGGCTTACAGAGCCAGGGTCACCTGGCTCACAGCAAAGCAGAAGTGGTTGGAGAGGGCAGAGGCCCGATTTCCGTGGGAGGAAGTGGCAAAACCAGCAGCTGATACCAGATATATTTGGTTCAGGAACTGGGAACGTTTGCACCCCTTGAGGCTTCCCAGGATCCTTGCAGGAAATTCCCTGGCACGGAGCAGGGGCACGAGGAGGTTGTGTGTGTTCTGGCTGCCCCAGGCCAGCAGACGCTGTGCCGCCTATTCATCCCCGTGAGCAACAGCCTGTTTGGGTTTCCTGGCAGATTGGCCTCGGCAGCATGACCCACAGACACCAGACAGCCACGGCCTGTCCCCACAGTGCCGCCACAGCTCTTGCAGGAGAGCGTTGGGGTGCTGGGCTTCCCCATCCCACGGCACTAGATGGTGCTGCAAGACAGCAATATCGCCTGGACTGCACAGCGCCTGCACAGCACCGGCGGGGAGGACGCTGGCTTCCGTCACAGCATCGGCCGGGGACCCCGCGAGAGCCACCGAGGGCCAGCTCAGGCCAGCCAGCCCCACGCCAGGTAGGTTGGCCACCCGGGATGAGACGTGCCACCAGCTCCACCCCAAGAGAAATCCAGCTCTAGGCTGGACACACCAAGCCCCGTTCCAGGCCACAGCCCCCCGGGATACCGGCGGGCACACATCAGGACCAGGGCTGCTCCTGCCACGGGGCGAGGTGTCCCAGCGTGTCCCACACCTCCATGCCTCGCGCCTGCCTCCGATCCTCTTTCAGCCCTACCCCTGCCAAGCCAGGGAATGAGAAGCCCCAAGAGCCCTAGGACAGAGCTAACGGCCTGGTGGGGCTCCCCATGGCCAAACACAGCCCCCAGACTTTGCTGGGGAACAGCCTGCTGTGTGGGGTGCCCCACAGCCACCCCATGGTGCAGCACAGGGTGGGCAGGAAGCTGCATCTCCAGCACCTGCTTGGGGGCAGGTGCCCTGCGCTCACCCCTTCCCACAGCAGAGCCCCACAGCCCCACTCCTGCTCACCCCCACCCAGGACATCGCCCTAGAGCTGCACCCCCACTCCCACAGTCCCCCCCCACGGACAGGCCTTTGCGCTGGGAGGTGTCCCCAGGGAAGCAGCACGTCCTCACCTTGGGGGGATAAGCAGGGCTAAGGACAAGGAGCCAGTCCCTGTAATGGCTGGGGTTTGGCTTGCTGGGGGTCTGGGCTGCTGACCCTGAACCCCATCCCTGCAGGGCGGGTGCACCCCACAGCACCTGGGAGCTGCTCTGAGCCCCCACATTGCCTTTGGGGCCGGGCTTGGCAGTGGAGACAACCCTGGGCATGCTCAGCAGGCTGTCCAGCCCCACAACGGACCACACTCCCTGCTACTCCAGCCAGGTAATTTGGAGCCACGACCCTTCTCTGCCTGTGGATCCGGGGGCTGGCAGTGCCTGAGCTGCTGGCTGGGGAGTGGGTGGCTCACTCTTGCTATGGGTTGTCCTCCTCAGCATCGCCTATGGCTCATGTACCAACTGAGCACCCAGCTTTCAGGCTGCATCACCCCTTGTACCCCCTGCCCTAAGTCATGAAAGAGGGGTGCTGGTTTCCAGCTCCCCGAAAGACCAGGGCCAGGAGCCTGCTTTGCCTGCAGCGGAGGAGAGGGGGGGCCAGAGAGGTACCCAGAGAGCCCAAGGCACCCCCATGCACAAAGCGAGCTGCTGAAGGACCCACATCCCCACCCGACACCCAGCTGCCATGCAGGGAGAGGCAGAGCCCCTCACCTTCAGGCCTCCTTCCTGGGCAGGGAAGGACACATGCAAAGACCCCATCCCTGAAGATTTACGGCCTGAGGTCTCCATCCCTGTAGATTCTCCAAGCGCTGATGGGGTTGAGCTTTCTCATCCCCCAGCTGCCTCCCTTGCACTCTGCATTCTTACAAAAGCGACACAAGAGCCTCTCCAGGTCCCCGTCTGCTCTGAAGCGCAACACTCGCTGCTTCGTCTCAGGTATCCTCCTTGGTCACACGTGGTGCAGCACTGCAGAGGGGCCCCCAAGCCCACCACCCCTCACCCCTCCTTCTGGGGGTCCCCAGCCAGCCACGAACAGGAGCCATGGCCCTCCTTGGCTAACGCAGAGCCAAGGATCTCCCACAGCCCTTCCTCCTGCTCTTCAGAGGATCAGCTCAGCCAGACAAGATGGAGCTGCCATCTGTGTGAGGAAGGATGGAGGATTCCCAGTGTCTGCACAGGAGGAGCCACAGGCACCCCCAGCCCTGCTCCCCCTCCAAGACTCCCACCCCAGAGTGGGGGAAGGATTGGGGTGGTGGCCCCAAGGAGACCTGGCAGCAGGGGGTTAGCACCCAACTGGGTTTCAGATCTCAAGGACCTCCACCCAACTGGGGACTGCCAGGTCCCTCCATCTGCCAAGTCAGGGTCCAGGACCAGAGCTGCCCCAGCTCACCAAGGGGGACAGGCCGTGGGGCTCGTGGCAGCCAGGGACGAGACAGGAACTAGAATCTCCCACATCTGCTCTTCAGCTTGGGCTGCTCTTTCCTGCCCACACCAAACAGCTCTTGTGGCAAGCGTACGAGCATCGCTATACCATTTAGGAGATGTATCTTTGCTACGTGGGATGAGCCAAGACTGGCCAAGGGCCCTGGGATTCCCCAGCCCACACCTGAGGGTCTGTTCCCCTGGGACACCTCACACCCAGAGTCAGGTGGCAATTGCTCTGCCAGAGAAACAGCTCTTCTCTATTTTCAACAGCAACGCCTCAAAAGTGCTTCTGTGTTTATGATCTTGAAGAGTCATGCCTAGAAGGAAGTTTCACTCAGACTCTTAAGTAGATGCCAATTATTTGCCCAGACACAAACTGCACCAGTAACCCCAGTCCATGTCTAATTTGGAGTCCAAGTCCTGTGTTCCCCACAGGCAAGTTCTCCACCAAGCCCTCAAGGTGCTCCAAACTTCATGAAGGTTGTTAAGATGAAACAAAAAAAAAAAGTTTTGGATGAGGCTAACTGAAAGCTACAACTGGTGCAGCTTGAACTGATGAAACAGGTCCTAACTTACTACAGGCAGGAGGTCAGGACTGGAGGTGGGTCTGCTGGCCCAAACCCAGTCCAGTTGCCCACAGACCATAGGCTTAGCCCCACTGGTTACACTGGCTGTGACCTTTAGTAGCACAGCTCCACCGGTGCATTGCATTTCAGGCTGATCATGTAGAAGTTGCTCTCGTTCACCTGGTTCTTCAGCCACACGCAGGACACATTTGCTCCAGCAAAGGTCCAGCCACAGCAGAGTCCTTGGGAAGGGCTGCCCTTGGTGGAGGTGGCCACCTGCACACACCGACACAGCCCAAGTCCTTCCAGGCTCATACAAGGCACCCTGTGGCTCTCCTGACAGCTACATTTGGGAGCTACCTGGGCTACCTTCAGCAGTCAGCTAGCACACCCCAGAACAGCTTCAGTCCTTTGCCTCCATGGTCTCCAGGCCCAGCAGGATCAGTCCAAACAGGATTCAAATCACCATGGGTCACATCTGTAGGCAAGGGGCAGCACAAGCAATACCTCTGCTCTGCAGGTTACAGCTGAAACGCGTGACCTGTAAAGCTCTAGGTGAGGGCCCCAGCATCACGACACCATGCCTGAAGTCACACAACGGCCACGTGCTCTCCACCTTCAGTCCCATGACATCAGGTCCCCACAGAATCCAGCTCTGGCCACCCACCAAGCAGCGGTGGCGATCATCTTCTGCGCAGCAGAGGCAGGTGGGACTCCCCAGGTCCCAGCAGGCAGCTCCTGGCACAAGGGCAGATCACTGGGAAGACCATTTCTCAAGATCCTCAGAGGAGCCTTCGGCTGTCCTGCCAGCCCCGCTCCTGTGGAGGGGGACCCGCCATCCCAAGCCATCATCCCGCTGAGCAATCCCTGTAGCACTTTGGATTCACCCAGAAAGGCTCCAAATGAGATGAGGGGCCACCTCCAACCCTGCACCCCCCCAACACCCAGGGACCCCCAACCCGACCCCCCCCCAGCTCTTTCCCAGAACCACCACTCCACCAACCCCGGACAGCCCCAAACTGCCGCACTGAGCGGCCTTTATACCCCTTGGTGGGGTGTGGCTGCCCCTGATTGGCTGAGCCAGATGACAGGTGGCAGCTCCAGATTGGCTCGGAGCAGTCTCCCTCACCCTGTGATTGGCGAGTGCTGCTGCGAAGGCCGAGACAGCAGCAGAGACAGGTGGCAGCACGTGGTTGGCTGGGGGGGGGGGGGGGGGGGAAGCGCCAGGTGGCAGACTGGGATTGGTCAAGCCTGGGTGTTGCTTGGTTGTGATTGGTGGAGGCACCATGAGGGCGGGAGGGAAGGGGGGGGAGGGGGAAGAGACAGGTGGCAGCGTGGGATTGGCTGGTGGGCTGTGCCAGTGTGTGGGGATTGGCTGGGGCTGGGTGGCTGGGCAGTGGGGCTGGGGAGGGGTTCTCTAGGGTGGCCCGTGCACTGAGCTGTGCCCGGTCTCAGCCCCCTGTGCTGGGACCAGCCTGTCCCCTCCCTGCTCCGAAGACTTGGGAGCACATCCAGGGTGCGTGGGGGGGGGGGGGGGGGTGGGAGGGGGAGGCTGCCAGACCCCCTGGAGCCCAGCCACGAGGGGATAGGAATGGGGTGTGGAAATACTGGGGCTGCCCTGCACTGGCGTGCTGGACGAGGACCAGGAGTTGGGGTGCTGGGGGGCCCCCCTGGTCTGCTCTTTCCTCACCCCCCAGCTGCTCCATGCCTGACCCACCGCCAGCCTGCCGGGCTGGGAGGCCGGTGGCAGCCTCCGGTTTTACGCCACATCCCCAACCAAAGGGGACCCTACCGCCCCAAAAGCCCCAGGTTTTGGGGGGCTGCAGCCCATAGGACAGGTCCTGCTCTGCAGTGGGTGCCAGTAAGGCCACTACCCCCCCCCCCCCGCCCCCCCCAAATCTCCCCCTCCCCGGGGCGCCGCACCAGCTGTGTATGCAGGGTCCCCGCCTTTCGGTGACACGCGGAGCCTGCTCTCACCGGCTCCTCAGCTGCAGAAACTTATTTGAATAATTTGCCTCGCAAATCTGCGAGCACCAGCTCGAACCGCACGTCGCCAGAGCCCACTGCGGGGCTGCCGCGGCGGGGACAGGGGCACGGCTCCCACCCAGCCGTACGGGGACACTAGGTGACACTGGGCAGCGCCGGCTGCCACTCCCAGGCTGTCACATCCCGCTGGGGACATCAGAGCGCCCGCTAACCAAATCTAGCACCGGCCTCCAGCCTTGCCGTGAACGCCCCATCACCACAGGCAGGCCTGGATGTAGCCCATGAATGGAGGCAGTAAATCTGATAAGCTATCAGCTAGCACCGTGATTAGTTGGATAATTAAGGACAAGGAGCCAGATTTTGAGCTTATTTGCCACCAGTGTAAATACAGAAGTAAGTGACCTGGCTGCTCCCTCGGGATCAGGAGGAGCTGTGACCCTCGCAGCCAGAGCACTAAACACACAACAGTTCTTCTTTTAAAAAAAAAAAAAAACAAGAGTATAAAAATCACCGCCCCGCATCTCAGCGCTAACTGCCAGGATTGCAGGGCGAGAGGAGGAAATGAGACCATCTGGCAGGGCTCCGGCGAGGGGAAGGGAACTCGCCGGAGCCGGGGCGAGGGTTTGGGAGGCACAGCTACAAGGCGGGTTCCTCCAAAGGGGTCTCCGCACACCTGGCAGAGCCGGCCGAGCTGCTCCGAGCTCCAACGCCCTGAAGGAGGGAGGAAAAACGAATTGGAGGAAGGTTAGGAGCAAAGCAGCAGAGGTCAAGGCCGTTACAGCATCTTTGGTTTGGTTAAAGCAGACAGACAAACCCCAGCCGGCCCCACGGGGTCCCAGCACCGAACCTCTGCTAATCTGGTACCCCAGAAATTGCCGGGCAGAGGGTGCAGGTTGGAGCATCCCTCAGGGACCAAATTCAGTGCCCGCTGGACGCTGCCTCCTCCCACACAGGCAGCCTACCCGGCCACCAGCGATGCTGTAAATAAGCCTCGGGGGGGGGGGGGGGGGGGGGGGGCAGCATTTACAACCATCGGGCCACCCGCCCACCGCTGACATGGCCAGGAAGGATTTTTGGGGGATGGATTTCTCATCCCCACTGCACCGGCCAAACACAACCCTCCCCCAGCCCGGCAGGGGCTTGCCGAGCACCCCCTGCCCACACACGCGCCAGCTCGCTTTCCCTGAGCCTGGATCTGATCTCCCCAGCCCAACCCGTGCCCCCCCCCCCCCCAGGAGCAAGGGGGGGCCATGCTGGGGCCCAGCGACAGCCCCGACACCAGCAGCAGGGACAGCACAGCCACCAGCCGGGACCACTGACACCCCCCCCCTCCCAGGACCCTGCGCTCCTCTGCCCGCTCTCCAACCATCTTCCCAGCCCCGGTCCAAAGCAAAGAAAGGAAGGAGAGAAAGAAGGGGAAAAAAGAAATAAAAAACTAAAAAGAAATGAAAACCAAAACAAAAAGCAGCAGTTGGGAGGCAGCCTTGTTAGGACAACTCAGCAAAATAAAATTCCGGTTTATTGTTGGACAACATTGTTTCACACATACATCAAACAGGCCAAAAAAAAAAAGAAAAAAAAAAAAAAAACAAAAAACAAAACAGCAACTTCATAGACAGAAAACAAAAAAAAAAAAAAAAAAAAAACAAAACAAAACAAAAAAACAAAAAAAAAAAAAAACCAACCACCTTTTTATCTTTGGCCTTGCCACCTCATACAAACCACGATCTATGGTACAGCTAAAGTACATACACAAAAAAAGTTACTGGAATGCTCAGAATAAGATTGTAATTTTTTTTTTTTTTGCATTTTTGTCTTTTTTTTTTTTTTAATTTTTTTACAAGGTTTTGTTTTATTCTCCTTTGAGATAATGGTTTGGGCCTGGTCACACCACAAGTAAAGTCAGAGATAGGTAACAAGAGAGATATACACTTCAAAGCCCCCCTTTTGGTCAATCCGAGATCACTTAAAAATGGCGGACCTCCTAACAATATGTACAAAAATATAAAATGTAAATAAAAAATACAAACAAATTCTCCTTTAAAGTACTTTTAAGAAAGAAAGCAGGGCCTTGAAGTTTTGGTGCTTGGGGGGAAAGGGGTCTGTGGGGGAAGGGGGGGTTTCTCTCCCCGCTAACGGGCGAATCGTTTCGTATGTTCGTTGAGTGGCAGCGCCGCGCCGGGGGGCCGGGGACGGGGTTCACTCTACTTGGTGAGGATGACCACGGCGGAGGGGGGAGGAAGGGGGTGTGTGTGTGTGTGTGTGTGTGTGTGTGGGGAGGAGGTTGCAACGGGAGGGAAGGGGGGGGGGGGGGGGGTCCCAAGGGTGAAGAGGACGCGCTGGCCTTTTTTGTTGGTTTGTTTTCCTCCTTATTTAGAAAAAAAAAAAAAAAATAATAATAATTTGCTGCCTAGTCATCTTCATCAGTTTTCTGCTTCTTAGGATCGACGTCATCGTCCTGGGGGGAAAGCAAAGCCGTCAGGAGAGGGGACGGGGAGCGGGGCTGCTGAGATGGCCCCCCCGTAAGCACCCTGGGGCTCCCCAACCCGGGGCCAGCGGCGCCGCGCAGCCGGAGCAGACACCCTGCTAACCAGGTTGGTGTACAAAGGGAACTGGGCCGCGTCCCTGGAGGGGCACGGGGAGTGCTCAGGCAGGGCATTCCTGCCCCAGAGCCCAGCCCGGCCCCGCTGCAGCTCCCCCCAAGCCCTCTGGGGACATGAGTGGCTCCGAAGGGCTGGTTTCTCTTCCTACCTCGTCGTCCTCAGCTGCCCGTTTGCCTGTGGCTCCCTCAGCTTCGTCGTCTTCATCACCGTCCTCTTCCTCACCTGCACAGAGAACAGGAGGAAGGTGAGACCCTCTCGGGGGGTTACAGCACCACACACCTCCCCTCTGGGCTTGATTCTGGCTCAGCCCCGCACCGCCATGTCCAGTGTCCTGTCTCCCCAGGTGGCACCGACCCTGCTCGGGACAGCAGGTACCCGAGGACATGGGGGCTGCCGGGGCACCCCCCAACGGGGAAATCAGGATTGGCAGCATTGAGTCTGGCTCACACCGTGTTTGTAGCACAGGCAACAGGACGGCCAAAGTAGCACCTATGGCAAGCGCCGAAATCACAGCAAAAAGGTGGGGGGGAAGGGAAGGTGGTAGGGGGGTCAGGGAGGAGGAGGAAAAAATTCTTTCTAGTGGCCGCTCTGCCTAACCGCTCCAGATTACTTCTGCTTCCCTTCGCAGCTATTAGTCCATCTTTAATGAGTTAAGAGAGCCAGGATGCATTAGTTCTGAGTCAGAACACTTTCTAATTATCAGAACAGCAAACAAATGGTACCAACTTATCTTACAGCCAGAGAAGGATGAGCAGGGAGCTCTGGGCTTTGACCCACTTTGAGCTCAAATAGGCCAGTGGATCAGAAGGACCATGTCCCATCACCTTTGGCCAGTTTTGGGGGATCGAGGGCAAGACCAGAGGCCCCAGGAGGAACAACCTCTCAGCCGCTGAGACGAGTCTCTTGTGTAACAGGAGACCCTACTAAAACTTAGAGCGTTAAGGCCAGTAAGCTGGCTTTAAACCACTGCCACGAGTGCACAGACAGCCAGGGGGATTAAGGTCAGCCCATCCTCCCTTCCCCTCTCCTCTGCCCGGAGTGTGCCCAGCCGCAGCGTGGCCCATGCAGCAGGAAGGACCAAGATTAGCTCCCAGTGATGGATCAGCACCCAGGCAGCCATCGCATGCACCGGGCTGGCCGGCGGGTCAGGTGACAGCGCCAAGCTGATTGGGAGCATTTTTAGTTCTTTGAGCTGCTTTAAGCAAAGCAAATAATGAGATGGGATGGGGAGAAGGGTGAGAAAAATATACCCTCGAGCTCCCCTTTGCTGTCAAACGCCAGGATGGAGTTTGGCCGCAAGTAGTGGAAAAAAAAAAGCTGATGCAAGCTGCACTCACTGCCTTTAAATCCCTCTCCTGCAGTGTTCAGCTGCTCAGGTGCAGCTTTCAGGCAGGGA